TCTGCTCAAAAGTAGGTTTTGTGTATGAACAAATATGTAGATACTTATAATCAGCATGCACAGGTATTTGAGAATAAGCAGGAAATATATCTGTAATAGGTGAATCCGGGGCGAGTTTGGAGTCTTTATTATACAAGGGTCGTCACAAATTACAAAAAAAAAAATCATGAAGTTTATAAAATATTATCCGGTTGCATTGTAGAAGGATACATTATAAATGCATATGTCGTTTTTAATATTTTATGTATTTCTCTCCCTTGTGTATAGCTATTTCTTGTTGAATTACTTCCATTTGCTTTCAACAAGTCTGCATTACACGTAAAAGCTTAAAATAAGTAATAATATGTTGTATTTTGTTCATATTCAACTTGAAAAATCACATACATACTAATGTCCATGAGCATGTTTTGCAACTTGAATTTAAAAAAGAAAAGAAAAGAAAAAGAAAAGTCTAGTGTGTGTGTGTGTGTGTGTGTCTACACATATATATTTCAAGAAGTGGTGCTCATGTTTTTTGAATGTGCAAATACTTTGCTTTTGGACGTCCTTTAATTACAAGAAAATTTCAAATATCAGCAACAAATCTATGGACAAGTAAATCATATTCGTGTAATCAAAACCTTGGATATAACAAAACAGCACTTCGGTAAATCTCATACTGTAAAGTAAATAGTATATATAAACACAATTCTTTTTCTGGACATGAAGAACAATGCAACCAAGAATTTGTATGTATAGTTTGCTATCAATGGTCATGGTCAAAAAGTAAGCCTTTTAAAAGCCTCGCATGTTTGAGAAAGGGTATTAGTTGTGAGTATGAAAAAGTGACAATAAATCAAAAAATAGAACTGAGATCACCAAAGAAGAAACCAAGGAACTAGAAAGACCCCACATTCTAGAACAGACAGATGGGCGAGATGGTTGCCATCTGTGCCCTAAATTTGTCCCACTGTGAACTGTAAGCCTGCTTCCCATCAGCTATTACCTCCTGAATTACGTCAGTCTTAGGTAATGTTAACCTACCTTTTTCCACTCGTAATTTGACAGAATTAAGCCTCAGGCCGAAGCCCTGGCTCAATCCAAGGCCCTTCAAAGCGGTCCTCAATCCATTTTTCATCTGTATAACCGGTATTTAGATACCCGGATCTGGTTATAGTTTAATAATGTCTGCCTGGGCTCCATGAACTTCGCCCAAACCCCAATGAAGAAACGGAGTTTGCCTCCAAACTGAGCGTGATTATTAGCTTTGATGACGTAATCTGTAGCTGGACTTTAAAAGCCCACTTTAAAGTTGGTTTGTGAAGAAGATCTCCAGGTAAGAGTTATAATCATGAATGGGGCACTGTCCAGGAGGGAACGTCGGGAACATCGTGTAACTGCTCTATGGTTTCCCTTTACCTCCCCAAATTCGTTATGTTTTCCAAAGAAAGTCCAAGTAATTAACCCAAATCGGCCTATTTACTAATTAGCTCTCTCGTAAGAGACAAAGTGAATCACGCTTAGGTCCCCTGTTGGACGGAACCCGGACGGTGAAAGACCCATAAAGTAGAATGCCTTCAGAATTATAAATAAGAGGTTTATCCTCGCTTGAAGAAAGAGACGTTGGAATGTGCGCTTCATGGATATGGTGGCCCATCAAGCTCCCTTTTTTACAGATTACTTGAAGCTTAAATTACAAAGCCTCGCGCTGCCAGTTGGAGTCTAGCTAAATGGGACGGCCGCGGTATTGGGTTGTATTGCTGGTGGCCCTTCATTACCGCAGAGCCCCTTGGCAGCCAATTCAGCGCCACCGCTTCCAAAGTTAGTGAAGAAGTGGTTGCAGCCCTAAGCGATGGAAGACAGGTTCTTTCCCTCCTTGCTTTTCCCATGATTACGGAATTCGTCGAGTGGATCCATCTTGCATGTATCTCATCCTTTAAATCTTACCTCCCAGAAGAATGCTTCTCGCTTTGAATTGTGAGGTTGTTTGTGGAGCAGATTTGCTGCATGCTATGAATATGCTGTTTTCTTTTCCTCTCCTTTTTGTAATTGGATTATTACTATCATGTCCAGCATCCTGGCTTCACAAGACCCGTTTCCTGTCACAGTTGAGCTTCACGAGTCAAAAAAGGAGTGGTGGATTTGGTCATCCATTCCCTCGAATATCCATCCACCACTATCCAGGCAGCAACTCCTTGTCCCAATCTGTCAACTGAAGCTTTCGGCGGAAATAGGGGTGCTGAGCCCCATTCAATGGTGGGCTTGGCAGAAACAGAAGCATCCACCAAAGAATCTCCACTTCCTTTGGATGCATGGTTTACAAAACATGCAAGGTATGAGTTGGGTTTGAACAACATTGGCAAAGCTCAGGAACAAGGGCAGGCTTACCCAAGGCAAATAATTAATAACACTGTGCAGAAAAGCTTGAAGCCAAATTTGCAGAAGTGAATGGTATTCATCTGAAAAGTTTTTGATATGTTCATATATGTGTGTGTGTTAAATCCATATTGTGAGTGCAAATTCATTTTTTGTGTGGTAGTTTGACCCCATTGACTTCTTTATGGGAATTATAATTGACTGGACAATATGTTTGATACATTGCCACCTCTTCTGGTAAAGTTACCCTAAATGACTGCAGTGCAGGATTTCATTTATTTATACATGTGTAGATCCTTGTGTCACAAAACAGAGTATAATCCCAGGCAGAGAAACTGATAGGCAAGCATTCATATAAACACTAATAATGAAAGATAGTGTTTTGTTATAATATCATTCCACATGTGGAGGTGTGCTCTGAAGCAAGAGCAATTGGCAGATACCAACTCACAACACACTTCTGGTTCACAGATCCAGACAAACAAATAAATCAGACAAAATTAAAAATAAGAATAAAATAATGTAGCATCTGAAGAAGAGTTGGTTGAAGTGGATCTGTGGATGGCAGGGGGAGCTCCCCATCCAAGGCCAATTGGAAGAGGACAACCCAAATGGTTGCCATGTCATTTCAAATATTTGAACACTCCCCCTGACAATGTGCATCCTTCAACTTGAGGGAGGCTTGTCAGAAACAAGGATTGCTGCATTTCTAATTTACAAATTCAAAATTCTCCAGCAAAAGGACAATCCATGTGCATTTGGGAGTGTCCCCCCTATCTCTCTCTTTCTCTCTCTTATTTGTAGAAACAGAAAAAACCCTGAAATAAATACTGATATATAAAGCTCACCTGCAGCACAGTGCTGAAAAAGAATGAAAATTTTCTCATGGTTGAGAGTATGTACATTCTTCAATACAAACATAAAACCCTGCACATCAGCTTCAATAGCTTCATACACTGTTAACTGTTAAATGTAATAGGATATGAGGTGATGGCACATGGAAAATTCCAGGGGATGACTTCTAACAAGAAGTGACTTCTTTTGGAGAAATTCTTCCAGTGGTGGCAGCAGTGTTGCAAACCATTTGAGGGGAACAACATAAGGAACATGTTCCCCTTAGAACAGGGGATACTGGAACAACCCTTGGTTACCTTGTAGCTCATCAACAAGGGGCAAAACCATGCATGGTGAGAAAGAGATAAAAGTGTGGCAGACAAAGGCAACCCTGTTCCAATGGGCAGCTAGAATGACAGTGGTTGGCGTCATTCTTACCCCAGGTCCACTAGAAGAGCCATCTCCAATGCCTCCAGAAGTTGCCCTAATTTTGGAGCCAGTCCTTTAACTGGGCCCTTGCCAGCAATGCCACCGCCTCTACCAATATCAACAAGCCTTTTCCCCTCTCCCCCAGTTTTAGAGGGGCAGCAGCAGCCCTCCAAAATTTCATCATCAGCTGCCCCACCCCAGTTTTGTGTGGGTGTGAAAGGAAAGAATATGGGGTCTCTGTCTAGCTTTTAGCTCATGAGAATCGGAGTATGTAGATAAAGCTGTGCATATTCTCATGATGGAACACTAATTAGGGTTGAACTTTGCATACCCACCCAAAGAGTGTGCACTCTTGAAAGTTGACCATAAAAGTGCTGCAGCCTTAAACTTGTTTGGTGTGGTCTAATTTACTCATTTGGCCTCTTAATCCTGTGCTAAACCCTAAACCGATTGTCCTTTACTGTTGACAACTGTCCAGCTTCATACACACTCAAATTCAGTGCAAAGCTGTTAATCAATGCGCCACTGCCTTTACTTTGTCATCCAAGCTTCAGAAGAAAGTTAAGCTATTTTCTCCAGTCCATTGTTTTCAATGTTGTCAACTTTTGATTCTAGAGGTTTGCTAGGCATCTCAAGACTGTCAGGCTGAGAAAGATTTCATCGCCATTGGCCAAGCCCAAGGATGCTGAAAAAATTTAATCACAAAGTATTGTGCTTGGACAAGTGAGATAGGTTTAGGGTTTAGGACCAAGACACACAAACGAGCAACCAATAGACACGGGACAAAACATGGTTTGTTTGTTTGTTGGTTAAGACCGTGCTTGATTGGACAAACTACCCTGCATGGAAATGAAAGGCGCAGCGTCAATGAAAAGTAGTTCCCCTCCTGTTGCAAAGAACAAGAAAATTGTTGAGAGTGTAATCTTGAATGTTAATGCGAAATCTTCTCTGCTAAGTGGTCATAAGGAGCAATAACTAAATCGGAGACAAAAAGAAAAGTCCAGTCCCTCCCAGCGAACTCTTGCAGGTGGCTTCCTACTCCCCGCGGGGAACACGATTCCCACCCTCGTTACCGAGCTCCCAAGCCAAGCCAAGCCAGTCGGTACAAGCTCCGCAGAAAAGGAAAGGCGACCCGAAATCGAGCAGGGGGCAGCAGGGGCAGAAGAGGGAGGCGGGCAGCGGGCAGCGGGCAGACCGGTGGAAAGCGACGCGGGCAGACAGACAGGGCAGCCCACGACGAAAGAAAGTTCCCGCGCGGGGAAAATCCAAAGTGCGGGCGTCGTGAAACCGCCCCACCCCCCACCCCACCCCCCACCCTTTGGAAAGGGGAGAATGTGAAGTCCCTCTGACATGCATCCCAAGAGCACGTACAATATTTTTTTCGTTTTCCATCCAACAATCCTCCTCCGCGTCTCTGTCCTGCAGCGATCTTCATCACTCAGCCGGGCAGTGAATTGACAATAAACTGGATGATCATGGTGTGAGGTGGTGTGAGAAGTCGAGGTTGTGGGAGGCGAAGAGGGGAGTGGAAGAGGGAAGTGGATGAGGGAAGAGGAAGTGGAAGTGGAAGAGGAGAGGAGGGGGAGGAGGAGGGACATTCTTTCAACTGGGTGATGGTGTTGTCGATTGCTGGTGGTGGTGGATCATGGCAAGCAGGAGGCTGGGGGAGGGAGTGCCTTGGTTGCTTAACCTCCCCCTGTCCCACTCATACGCCTTTGCCTGAGCCAGGCTGGGAGTTGTCCTCGTTGCCTGCGCTCTGTCCCTCCTCTTCTGCGGCTTCATTACTTGTTGATGTGTTGACGTCTCTGAGCGAGATGGCCCTCCCGCCCTAGAAAGTCTGCCGTGATGGTGAGATGGGGTCGTCTTTCCCGCTCCCTGTGGCTCTAGAGTTTGCTCCTTAGAAGCGACGGATCTGTTGAGGGAGTAGTGGGTTGTGCACATTGTTGTGAAGGATTTTTTCGGAGTTACTGGAGAGTCCGATTTGAACTCTCTCTCTCTCTCTCTCTCTCCCCCCCCCCTCCCCGTGCTGTGTTTTTGTTTTGATGCGAGTGTATTGGTAGTGTATGTGGAAGAGTGTAATAAGCCGATTAGAGGTGTATCAAGGATCAGTATTTTGTGGAGTGTTGTACTTCGGGATTTAGAAATAAGTTTTGGCTGGAGTGTGGGTGGTGGGGGTTTTGAAACTGAATGGAGCGTGGGATAAAGTGGTATGAAGAATCATGTGGCCGGGCTCTTAGTTCGCCTGTGACATGTATATGATCTGACATGAGCACCTTCGTGCTGGTTCTTGGCAATGAAAACATGCCGGCCTTTGTTGTTTATGGTACCTGGTAGTCTAGGGAGCACGATGCGACTCAGTAGAGGAAGGTGTAGCTCCGATGTGAGAAATAGAGGAAGGCCTGTGGAGGAGGCACTGGAACAGCTCAGGATAACTTCATAATCTTGACACAATATTTTCTCGTTTCCCGACATTTTAACCTCTGTTTCAAGCAAGTTGAAATGATGACACGAGGCATTAAAGCGGCGCCCGAGAAGGTTGATAGGGAATTAGAGAGTGGTCCCGACATGGGGTCACCTGCTCGACGAGAGCCCATTCCGCCTGTCTCTGATATGCAGGTGTGTGTGCGATTCACCCTGCAACTCTCATGAAAAATGTACACATCATTACATCAGTGCTTTTCCTTCATGGCCTCGCCGGAAATGTGATACACAGGTCACACCCCAAGGCGAAGGCTCTTCTTACTGAACCTTCTTGTCGACTGTAAGCCTCTGGTATCATTAACCGCCTGAACATGGTGGCGCGAAATGAATTTCGCTTTTGTCGAGCCTGGTGTAAGCGGCTACACGATCCCCATTTTCGTGGGTGCATTGTACCTTCGCTGATTGTGCGGCCCCTGACGTGCTGATGTCAATGTTGCAAAGTATCACCAGAGAGGGTGCGCGTCTGCACAATCGAAAAATGCTACTCACATCGGGCCTGAAAACCGGTCAATGCATTTATTCTGCTGCGGTGATAACCAAACCCACTTTCTTAGCCTAGTGTAGTTGAGTGTGCAGGATTCTCCTCTGTTTAAGTATTTGTGCGAACTGTCGCCAATCCAACCAGCAAAGTCGGTTCATCATGCTCAGACATACAACGAAATGACGTTTCCTCAAGAGCACAGAATCTTTGCCTCTCCGCGCAGTGCTAGAAGGTCCTCATCAAGTTCACTGAAGAGGTACGGGCGATGCAGCTTACACTATAAAATTGTCATGCGCCTTTGCCATTTTTCCTACTCCTATGCCCGATGAGTCTGCTGGGTTGTCCAAGTTTCTTGTTGCGAATCTGACTTCAGCTCAGTCTACAACACGGCCAATCTAAACGGGATCTCTGAACAGGTTTGTGGCTGCGGAACGATTTTCAGCTCAAGCCCAAGCTGAAGGTCGAGAGAGTCTTGGATGGCATCAAACTCCCACATTCTCCCGAAGTACTCTTTCCGATGGTGCACCTTCATCGTCGCCACTGAAGCGGAGTTCTGGTGATCATCAAGTAACTCCTTGTTCAAGACGGCAAACAGAGGCACTGGCTTCGTCACAATCTGATGGCGCGAAGGTCGAAGTATCTCGTGATGACGTGTACGTGGCTGAAGATCCTGGTGGCCAAGGGAAATTCGGGAGCTCCATACATCTGAAACCGGAACCCGCATCCTGTGAAATGGACAGAACAGCGGTTGTCAATGCCAGATTTCAAACTCAGTTTACAGATTATCATCAGTTGGATCCGGCTGTCTCTGCAGCGATGCCCTCAGAAGTGGTTAGCTGCATTGATGGAAAAGATGAAATGTTGGAAGTAACAAGGACTGAGCACAATTACGCCACTGAAAGAAGACAATCCACTTCTAGTTTAATATCACATCCTATTGACTGTGTGCTTCCTAGCCAAGAGTCAAAATGTCATGAGCAGAGTGACCATAGACGCGTATCTGTTACATCCAGTTCTCACATTGAAGACCATGGATTGAGCTTCAGTACCGTTGCTAAAGGGAGTCCAGAACTTGACCGTGAGACTACTGCTATGGCATATTTTCTTGCTGGAAATCAAGATCTAGGACAGGACACCGGCGAAGAGTGGTCAGAGGATTCAAGTGAGGTGGTTGTCCCTAGATTGCCATTACGACCTACACCAGGATATTCTGTGAAACCGTCTGACATGATTAATGAAAGAGTCGTGAAACAAGAAAAGCGTATGGTTGATGCTATCACTCCTAAGTCCGGACTTGTTCCTTCAACTGAGGATGGACACGACACAGACACAATCTTAGCAACTGAAAATGTTAACCATCAACAGTCTGTTCTCTCTCAAAGGGTACGGTGGATCTTGGATGTTTTCACATCTTTGATGCTTGGATTACGACCTCTCGATTAGCAGTAACTACCTCCGCTTCTTCGACCCTTGGGTCTGTCATGTAATGTGACTGCGAGTTGAGTTGGCCAGTGTCTGTCATGTCCATGTCAAAGCCATCTGTATCTGTTACTTCGATCTTACACATCTCAATCCAAACTACTCTGCTTGTTGTCAACTTAAGCTATTATCTGACTTGGTAGTGCAACATCTGCAGGTGGATAATGCTGGCCAGCGGGGCTTTAGACGACGGTGTCTTGACTTCGATGCTTCTGTAGCTAGAAGAAAAAGTCTTGGCAGCATGAGCGGGAGAAAATCCCTAGGTAGTAGGCTAAAAGATTGCAGTGGAATCAGCGTTGCGGATGACAGTAACGTATCTGGTTTCGGCGATGTTGCTCCCGCATCTTCAGATGCAACAACAACCCGAGTGCGAGCACCTCCAAATGATTTTTCTAATTCCAACGACACTTCCAGAGTAGACTCAGACTCCGGCCTACATACCAGGGGTGAGTTTTGAATGTAGGACCGACTTCAACTAGTTGAGAATGATTATCGCTGTATCTTGCCTCAATTAGTTGAACCGTCCAACGATTCATTTCTATCTGGCGACCTGGGTTCTGAGCTAACTACTGTTTCGTAATTATGTCAGAGGCAGGGTCCCCAGTATGTGCGGACACTTTTGGAACCACGGCGAAGTTGCCACTCACAAGCTGCTCACATCAGAAGAACATGGACGTATTGAATGCTAAGACAGGGGAAGCACATTCTCGGAAGGTGCAAAATTCAGGAGCATCACCTGCAGGTACTCCACCGGAAGGTGTGAGACGTAGTCCTCGCAATCGACCGACTGGTATTGGACTTCACTTGAATTCTTTGACTAGCTCAATGTCCTTCAAGCGGGATTATTCGTCTGTTAGGGGAGAAAGCTCCAAGGGAGTGTTGGCAACAGTTTTAGGATTACAACCTGTGGCCCGGACGGATCTCACGGAAGATTCGCTTAGTGAAGGGCTTGGCAGCACAGGGTATTCTGCAAATCTGAATCAAAACTTTAATTCAGGAGTTGACAGACAAGCCTTAGATAATTCAAACAATGGATTGACGAAAAAACTTGATTATCATTCTCAAGTGGATTCAAGGACTCTGATGGAGTTAAATGGTGCTGAAACTACGTTACCTGCCAGTAGCATCAAGAGAGTTAATATTCCAGCTCCCGACTTCACTTCCCTTAACATTGAAAATTTATCACCATTGGAAGAGCCGTTCTCACTGACCCCAGCAGCTCATTTACCAAGGCTTGTTAGCCCTAGGGGTCAGAAACGACCTCAGCCTCATCACCAAGAGTTGATGCAACAACCGGAGGGTGAAGCTGTGGATGAACTTCTGGACAGCCCGCAGAGCGCGAAAAGAAGACGGTGAGCTTCACAAACTGGATGTTGTTTCCTTCTGCTCTAGGGGTTCGATATTGTGTGCTGTCCTCTATGCATGTACTGCGATTGAACAGGTGAGTAGTGAAGGGATTCACCTGACATTGTGTTCCAGGCTGTCTAGGCGGAAATCTACTGTGTCTTCTCAGAGCGAAAGATCAGGGGATGGCTGTAAGCGGTGTAACTGCAAGAAATCTAAATGCCTCAAATTGTGAGTTTATCAATTTTTAACTGTCTGCATTAGCTTTTTTTGTTGCTATTTCCAGTTGATCTTTCAGTCACAGTCTTGACATACTAATTCCGGCTGTGCTCCCAGTGACCTGTCTCACAGTGATTTATTTTTTCATTTTTACTGATTATTATTCTTTTTATTTTTTGTTATTGCCTGCTGATGCAATAATCTTCGGTCTTCTGTGCTGCTTGGCAGGTACTGTGAATGCTTTGCCGCGGGTCTATATTGCGTAGGTTCATGTGCGTGCCGCGATTGCTTCAATAAGCCTGAGTACATAGAGACAGTCATTAACACAAGACAACAAATTGAATCTCGCAATCCTTTAGCTTTTGCCCCCAAGATTGTTCAAGGTGCAGAGTCCTCCCCCGTGCCTGGGGTAAGTTCGAACCAGAAGCTGGTCTACCATCTACTTTTAGCGTACCAATCATTGTCAGTATTAATAATCATGTTGTGTTTTTTCTTACCTTGATGTGGAATCGTTTGCACAGGACGAGGTTCTTGATACTCCTGCCTCGGCTAGACACAAGCGTGGTTGTAACTGCAAAAAGTCCCTCTGTCTCAAAAAGTACTGCGAATGTTACCAGGTATACACGGTGTTATTGGTCTTTGTGCGGGTTTGTATTCCTTGCTTGGTTGTGGTGTAACTCATCTATGTCTTCTCGAAGACTCAATGAATTGTTGCTGTGCTGGACAGGCTGGCGTTGGGTGTTCAGAAGGATGTCGGTGTGAAGGTTGCATGAATAAGTATGGCAGGAAGGAAGGTTTGATTTCTACACTGAAAAATCTTCTGTTATCGCCGCTGTTGGTTGACTCATTTGGTGGAATTATGTCGATTGCAGGAGTTGCAATTGAGTCAATGTTCATAAAGGTATTTTTCTCGTGGATAGCAGTGGAATGACATGTTCTTCGTTTCATGTCGGTTGCAATGTAGGGCCGGAGGGAGATGAGAAAGACGGTGAGCAGGCCAATTTCGTTCGAGAGGATTCCCAGTCTGAAGATCCCATCGAGTTGCTCAATAGGATGAGTGGGAAAACCGACAGATTACGTGATAATTCTACAAAGCCAAATCTGTCTCCAAACACTCCGACCTTCGAATATGACCTGTACGTGATTCTGTGCTAGTAAATTGTATCGTGTTAAATCTTTGCTTGGATTTATTACAAAGGAATAGCTTTTGATAGTTCCTTCTCCCATATGCCCATTAGTATGTTCCATCTCACGTTCGTCATATATAGTAATTCTATGTCTACAGAGTTTAGTGATGCTAATATGATGCCATGTCGCTCTTGCAGGCATGGACGACCCATGCACAGTCTGAGAACTTCACTGCGCAAGCGAATCGATCCCTCGGATGAACTTTGTCACTCACCCCTTGCTCAGCCTGTGTCACGACCTTCCAAGTCTCCGACGAGGTTCGCTCATGCACTAGATGCTTTCCATCTAGTGCCATCTTATCAGGGTCATAGTGACGCAGATTTTTCTATGAGCGGAGCTGGAGACTCCCCCATGACAACCCCTACGTTTGCGCGAATGGGTCATCTCTCCCCTCGCTGGGATGGTCTCGGTGACCTCTGCACTCTCACTCCGATGCAGACTCTGGCTCCGTTGCGACCAACACCTGGCTCGTCCTGTATAACAGTAGAGCGGCCTGGTGCTTCTCCTGCATTTAGCAGTCACCTGACAGAATCCCCTTACCAGGCCGCCGCTTCTACGAATGTGCACCAACGGCACGCGTCGTCAAGGTAACTATTATACCACTTCCAACGGATTTCCTTGCACTAGATATGAAGCTACAGGGCTTTGTTACTATTTTTCCGATTCCTCCACTAGGGGAAATCCTTCAAGTCTAATTGCCTGTTGGGTTAGTTGAAGCAATTCGTATTCTAAGTTCATTTTTTTCTGCTTGACTCGTCAAACCAATTCTTGTGTGTGTATGTGGAAAGAGAGGTAGCGGGATGACCTCATTCCAAAGAGAAAGTTGACAATCCTTCAACTCCTGATTTTAAGACTACGGAGTACTTCAGCCTCATATCATTAAGAACATCAGTGAGGTTTAATATTACCTGATGCTTACATGAGATTATTATCTTTTTCCAGACATTGGTCACCGCACTCTCCAAGGTTCAGGCAGCCTGCTCCGCGATCACCCTTCGATACGCCTCGTCAATCCCAGCTATCATGCACTGACCAGGGTCATCCAACACCGCTTACGCCCGCTATGCAGTCTTACCAGCTACTTTCAGGGAAAAACCTCCAAAGTGAACTAGAGTTGGCGAAGGTTAACGTCGCTGACGATGATGGCACCCCGGAGTTTACAAAGTACGCAGATGAAACTCGCGACAGTTCCCCAAGCCGAAGTACCGTGACGAAGTCGAGCTCTCCAAAGCAGAAACGTGTGACTCCACCTCGTTATAGTGGGAACAGGGAGCCGAGTAATTCATCTAATGGTGGTTGTGGCAGTAACTCTCTGGCCTCTTCGCCTGTTTCTAGAAACGCCAGAAAGTTCATCCTTCAGGCGCTTCCCACCTTTACCAATGACTGAGTATGTCTTTTCGGCTATACCAACTCTTTCCATATTTCCTGTTTAACTCCGCTGGATAACGAAGCCAAGCATGAGTTCCCATTTTTGAGTTTCTATTGCCTGTGCTCCTTGTACAAATTCTATGAGAACATGGAACTTAGAGCAGAAAATGCTTTGCGGACTACCTACGTGCCTCTTGGCCTATGCCCCACAAAGAAAAGAGAGAAAAGCACATATCGGCATTTTCTTCCATCCAGCGTAGTGTACAGAGTCACGACAATGATAGACTTGAGTACACCGGTTTCTCTTTTATAACACATGGTTTCAATTCGATGCTAGTCATTGAAACATTGTAATATTCTCCTGTTTGAGAGAAGAGATGAGAGCTGAAGATGAAGCAAGGGGTCAAGCTGACACTGAGCTTGGGCTCTTCTGTGAAGTGCAATAAGCAGTCTACTCTTTGCGCTGGAGTCTCTTATGTTGACTAAAATCTTGCTGCCCTTTTTAAGGCCACGTGTGGGAATGAGACGTGAGTTTTACAATCCCCCTCCTGATAAGCCAAAGCATTTAATATAAACGTGATCAATGAAATGCGCTTTTTGCTGCTGGTTTGGCTAGGAAAACCACAACCTCATCCGGTTATCCTTCACAACCTCAAAACAGTCGGAATGAACGCGAGGGGTGTAGCAGCGGTTGTGTCTCGTTCAAGTTTGGAGACACTGTACAGACCTAATCTGTATGTTACTGGAATTTGTGTAGATGAATTCCAGCTAAGAGTACGTACATCAGTCCTCTCATTGGTCACAACTGGCTTGTATGCTTCTTTTGAGCAAATGGAAATATACTATTCCATTCCAAGAAATATTAATAGACTTCAAAGTAAATTACTTGTAGGAAATTGGAGTTTATGAATACCATTTCTGTGCTCAATCAGACAAGTTTTTGCAAACGTAATGAAACGTAAAGATGTTTACATGAGAGACGAACAACAAAAGAGATGTTTCAAATAACTTTTGCAGTTCAATATAATCCTGATTACTTGTGCAGGCTAAAAGCTAAATATGGGACGTATGTAAAAAAAACACATTAATAAAAAATTTCAACATGTTACAGTTTAAAAATGAAACAAAGATACGTAACAGGTTAATTGTTTAAATTATGTAAATATTAAATGTATAAGATACCAAAATATGTAAAATACTTAAGTTTAATAACAAAAAAATCATTAACTTTGTGAAAATTCTTTTTCTAATATTATAAATACTTTCAAAATTTAAGAATAAGAAATCATAAAATCAATTTAAGATACATTTCTATAAATATTACATTCAAAATTGAATAAATGTATCTTTAATGTAAAAGATAATTGTACAACATATTACAATTATAATACATTTAAACTCAAATTAGTGTAAAAAAACACAAATTTGTACATAAGGTTGTCTTATAATTAGACTTGATCTTTAAATAATTTTTTTGAATCTTCAATAAGGGACATGAATATTTTAACATGTTTCAAAACATTTAAACTCTTTATAGAATAATAATTAAAGTGCAAATGTAATGATAGTGAATTTATTATTATTTATATTTTAATATTAAGACGGTTTCTAAGGAAATTGGAAAGCTTATTAACCAAGACAATGGAACTTTTATTGTTGATTAGTTAGTTACCTTATTAATTAAAAGCTACCACAAGCAAGCTAAAAAGAAACATATGGAACTATATAAACTAATAAGAGTGATCAATTACCTTAGTTAAATTTTTAGATACTTGCTTTATTCATAAGTTTGTATTTATATTTTATAGTAAGATTGATTTAATGTGGAAGGTATTAAATTCAATAAAAATCCAAGTCTATTTCTTTTCTAATATACATAAAAATATTAGGGAGAAGATTAATCATGTTGGTAGTTTGATTTAACAAAACATCAATAATCTTATTGATCCAATTTGAAGTCAACACTTTACAGACATATAAAATAAGTATGTACATTTTTTTGTTTATATAAATGTTAAAAATTTGAACAACCATAACATGCAAGTTAAAAAGAAATTGAATATAGGAGAAGCAAACATATATATAAATTATATAAGACAATGTTTGGTATTTGGTTCCATCAAATGCAATAACAAACAACCATGTAGATTACAAGGATTGCAAAAATACATATAGATTATTAAATATAAGGCTCAAGCTACAAGCACATCTATTAATTTTAGAAATTGTACTTATTATTTAATTAATAAAATAAAGATCTTAATTTCTTTAGGAGATATATTGTAGAGGAACTTTAAATATAAAAAGAAGAAGAAGGAAAAAAGTCATTATAAAAGAAGAGAAGACTTGGTGTAAAAAAAAATATAAGAAAGCTAGTGTAAATGAGATTAAGAAAAGATATATAAGTGTAAAAAGAAAAAGGAATTAATTACCTATGTGTTAAAAAGACAAGGTAGTTAAAACCATCTTTGATAGTTATAATAGTTAGAAATAAAGTAATTTTATTATGTTTAAATAGTATTAAAAGTAATTTATTATAAAAATTTATAAATAGCTACAAAATTATGTTGTAATTATTATAAGAAAATCATAATAAAGAGATTACAAATGACATACTCTAATGTTATTTTATTATATACTTTTGATCCATTTACAAGTTGTAAATATCACAAGTTAAGGTTTATGAAGATCTTTGGGATTCTCAACACAAGGAAGAAAAAGCCTTGAAGACAAGATTGACAAAGTCCACAAAAGATTGAAGAAGACAAAACAAGGTTCATCAAGTGAAAGTTATGATCTACTTTGAAGTGGACATAATCAATGGACTACAATATTGACAAGATATAAATAAATATAAAAAAGAGATTGAAGAACAAAGATGCAAAAGATAGATTTAGTGTTTAATTGTTTGATCATAACTTTGATATAAATTTCAATTCCATAGACTTAAATCAAGGTTACAACTTCTAGAAGATAAAGAATGATCTTCATTAAGGATTAATATAAATACAAAGATAGCTCTTATATGGAAACATAGAAGAGATATCTTATAATTCTTAGGGTATAAAAATCTAGGTATTCAATATACTAAGTTGTTACACATATACGTCATGTTGTTATATGGACATCCAAAAAATGTAGAGGCTTGTGATTAGCTTGGTATTTTTATGTGGACGTTGCTACTTGATACAATTATGGAAGGGGTGGCAATCCTTCCTTTGGTGATCTCACCGACTAGTTAATAGACAAGGTCAAGGAGCAATGCCTCTTACATGGGCCTTCAGGGTTATTGTTCTTGGATTTTTTTTTTTTTTTTTTTTTTTTTTTTTTTTTAAATTAGCAAAAAAATGTATTAGTATTTTTTTTGCTGATTTTTACTATACCATACTGCATGTTCTATTGCTATTATGTAGTATGGTGTGGTGACTTTCACTACTCCATACATTCTCTTTTTAGTTTCTTATCATGAGCCTCATTTTGTACAAACATCATAATTTTTGTTGCGCACAAACATCATAGGCCTTATTGCATACAAAAATCAAACCAAGTAAAGTTGTAGTGGCATTTGTTCTTGAAAATCATTATTTTGTCAAAGTAATGGCCAATTTGTTGATAGATCAATCTTGTGATATTCTTCATACTTTTGGACCTTTTCTTCTTTTTCTTATTTAGACTGCTTCTATAGAAGACTTAGATGGCATTGCTTGCTTTGTCTCTTGTTTGATTTTCATATCTAGAGCTCGTAGTTCCTTTATTTCTTTAGCCAAATAGCTTCATCTTTGCATGTGCTTGAGTCTTCATAGTCTGCTAACTCATACATCATTTCTCTTTAGCCAAAGCTTACTTAAAAATTTTCTTATAAGTATTTTTTTGAAAGTTGTATAAACTAATATTTTCTTTGTTTGACAGTAAGTTATACAACAATCATTTGATATCTACAACAAAGAAATTATATGTTCTTATTTTCTCCATATATCTAGCTCCAATATCTTTAGATTCTTTATTTGCATCATATCTACTTACCTTTAGAAGTCTCTCTTCTTAGTTGTTAGAAATTCTTTAACAATAATTTCTTCACTTAAACAAATTAACAAATCTTCTTTGTTGGATTATTCAACCACAATGCATCTCTATTATGTATCCTTGATGTGCTTGATCTAGCCAAATCAACATGGTTCACATTTATAAATAATTAACAATTTTGCTTAATAATGGATCCATTTAAAAGATATCTAATAATTGTTGTTCTTGTTGTGTTCAAGCTTCAATATACTAAAGTAATTGAACTAATAAAGGTGGGTTCAAACACGAGGAAAGACTGGTTATATGAATTGGGTCTATTAGTGTTACAATTGACTATACTTTGGCTATCTGAAATCAATTATCAAACTACAAAACACAAAGGCTTACTACTTCCGTCTTAATTCAACCCATAATCCATTCTATGACTATCAATTCAATAATACTTCGATATTCTTATCCATTCATCTCCCACTTACTTTCTTTGTGGTTTATATATATATTCAATTACTGATCTCCAATTTACCTATTGTATTCAGTTTCTCAATTCATCACACAAAATTCAATATCTCAACTTACGACTCTCATAGTCTGATATTCCAGACTAACTTCTTAGTATTTAGAAACTATCCATTACTTGTCAACAACAAAGAAATAAAAAAGAGGTAGCACCAAGCTTGCCTCGGTTTACGACTATCATAGTTTGGCCCCGATCTCTCTTTCTTAAACTTCTTTATCCTACCAAAAAGGTGGACCGTTGGCTAGCAGATTCCAAAGGTTATGACCCTTTGAATTCTTAACCATTTATTCCACTAACAACCTAATGTTATCAACTAAACTGCATAACCATCAGTCTAATTCTCAAGGTTATCAATAACCAACTAGTAACTTACCACAAAGTTTATTTGCCTATTCTACATAACTCCACTTCTATCTGTCCAGCGTTCTCGCAAACAATATTTAGCCTCAACTTATAAAGACGTAGCAGCATTGGCTTCTTCAATCAATGGCAATGGCTTACCACCCTTTGAATTGGTGACCTTCTCTTCTTTACATCTTCATCATCAACCTCAATGTTCAAGGATTCTCCATCCAAATGTGCCATCAGATCTTCATTCAACAAATCCAATTTCCGTACTTGAAATCCACGTCGGGCAAATTGATTGTCACACTCCTCCAACATCTTCTGCCATTCTTCTGTCAATTTTAAAGGTATCTTCGAAGGTGTTATTGCTGAAATTGGTGTATTGATCTGCACTAAATTATTGGCCTCCTTCGCTAATGTGGCTAGTTTAGACTATAACATCGCAACTTCTACCTGCAGCTGTTCTTGCCGTTCTTTCCAATTGGTCTCCAACCTTGCTTTCTCAGACACCATGTTCGCCATCTTCTCCTTAAGTACAAAAGAAAATATGATGCTTCTCAAGAGTCCCCCTCCTACTTCTTACTATGTTCTAATCAATTGGATCGACTCTCCCTTATTTACCACGATTTGTCATGATGAAATATCCTATCATTATCATTATTTACTCCCCCCTCCCTTTTTTGGAACAGAAAACTCATCTCGGATTTATGTATGGTAAAGTTTAAGGTGATTACCATTAATCTGTGTTGTAAATTTAGTATCCATAAAATCTTCCAATTGCATAGAACCATTTGGAAATCCGTCAATAACTCGATATGGCCCATGCCATTGAACTTGAAATTTTCTTGGAAATTTTTTAAATCGACTATCATAAAGAAGTACTAAATCATTTGGCATAAAAGCCTTTGGTCTAAGCTTACTATCATAATAAATCTTCTTTCATTTTTGTATAGTTTCCATGATCATTAATGCATT